TTTTTGCTGTACGCGGGCCTCTCACTGTTGTGGCCTCTCCCGTTGTGGAGCACAGGCTCCAGACGCGCAGGCTCAGCGGCCACGGCTCACGGGCCCAGCCGCTCCGCGGCATGTGGGATCTTCCCGGACTGGGGCACGAACCCGTGTCCCCTGCATCGGCAGGCGGACTCTCAACCACCGCGCCACCAGGGCAGCCCACCAGAGAACTTCTGACTTCCCACCCGGGGTGACTAATAGATGTCACCTCTTATGCCAATCCTGTGGTAGATTAGTAGTGACTTCTGGTGTCTTGGGTCAGAGAACTCTGAGCCTTGCGTGTATCCCATGATGAACCTATGCTGTGCATTTGCTATGCTTCTGTGAAGCCAGGGTTCATGCCTGATGTTTTTATCACTCTGGCATCTAGCACAATGTCTGAAACATAGACGGTTTTACTACCCCTGAAATAGTATACATTTTCCTAACTGGGTGGGGGAAAAAGGCAGGGCTGAGATATTCTAATCAATGGATAGCCCATCTTGACTTGAGCCATAATTTTTTTTACTGTTAAGGGTGTCCAGAACAATGACAATGTTGATAAATCAAGTGAAGCATTTAATTTGAACATTACTTTCCTTATTTAGCCTTCTAAAGAGAGATAGAGGGAGAGAGAAGGAGGAAAGAAAGGGAAAAGGGAAGCCAAAAAAAAGCATCCTTTGCTGTTTTTTATGCGTTTCCTTGGTAAAAGCGCAAAGAGTGCATCACAGGTGCCATCTATGATTCTCACCAAAGCTTTGCTAGAAGACTATTTGAGCGTTGAGCTTTTCACCCAACCCAAGTATGAACTTGCCGGGACCTCTATTTCTATTACTGATGTGAAATCTTGAAACTTGAAACTATTCCTGTAATATGGTTCATTTATGTGGCCATCTTACCTCTAGAATTTGGATGAAATTATTATACTACGGGCAGTCTTTCAGTAACTCCATACTTGAAGTGCAATTAAATCATACTTACAATTTAATATTAAAAAGATTCTTTATATTCTAGGAAGTAATTCCAGCCAAATTTCCTATCATCATTCAGAAACCTAATAAGAGAACACTTTTATCTCATCACAATACAATCCACCCAAATTTCTTCTTTTAATTTTAACCTTTTTAATTAAAATAAAATTTAAGGCATATTTAGTGCTCTTGAACGTGATCAACTGATAGATTTGATTGAGACCAGCTGAGTTCAATTAAGTTCAACTGCATGGGGCCTGTAGCTCAGTTTATCTTAAATGTAGGTTTTTCCAGACTTAAGAGCTAATTTAAGTTTCTTTTGAGCTCCTACTGTGTATAAGACACTGAGTTAGCATTAAAAAGAAGATGATTTAGAACCATAGAATCTTGGGGCAGTAAAGACTTTATAATTTATCTGGTCCCATTTATTTTTATTTTTATTATTGTTTAACATCTTTATTGGAGTATAATTGCTTTACAGTGGTATGTTAGTTTCTCTGGTCCCATTTATAATGAGACAGTGAGTTCAAACTCAAGACTTAGTTACAAAGTAACTTAGCAACAAGGAAAAAATCGTACATCTGTGTATCTATCTATTCATAAAGTCACTTAATCTTAGTTTTGGTAGAGACCTTAGAAGTCATCTATCCCAACCAGGCATACAAAACAATTTTTTTCTTTTCAAACATACTTGACAAATTATTTATTCAAACATACCCTGTTTCTACTTGAACATTTTCAATTAAGGGCAACTCACTTCTTTTCAAGAAAACCTGTTTCAGTTTTGGACAGTCCTAACAATTAAAGAAGCTCTTCCCTGAATTAGGCTGAAATTGACCTACAAGCAACTACCAGTTTTCTTACCCCTGGCTTTGCCCTCTCTGGAGCAAGGCAAAATTAGGTGAATCCCTTCTCTACACGATGCCCATTCACCCCAGGAAGCCTTGTTTTCTCCTGGCTTCTCCTTGTCTCTTTGGAATTGAGAGACCAGAGTTGTTATTCCAACTTGTTGCTAATAACTAAATAACAACAAACATCTCATTAACCAATATAAGTCTCATTTTTCCACACTTCTATGGTCCTTTCCAGCTGCAAAATCCTAAAATGCTGTAAGTTACTTGAAGTAGTCATTCAGCAAACATTTGTGCTGGCTGCTGAGCTAGGTACAAGAGATAAAGGAATGAGCTAGCTTCGAGTAGTTGTCTAACAATGGCATGGACCAGATGACCAACTCAGACAAGACATTTGCTCCCTTCTACTTTAGTTTCTTCATTATAAGATGAGGAGCTTGGATGTCTAATATACTAAGAATGCTATACGTTTGTATCTTCAAGTGAAGTGAATGGTAAGTACAGAATTCCCAGCAAAGCAGAAAATTGTAAGCACATTTGCTCAGCTGGAAGCCTGGAACTGAGAAGCTTCCTTAAGGAATGAGGGAGGATGATACGGGAAGGTGTGAACAGGTGTGGAGAAAATAGGCCCGAGGCATGGGGGCGCGGGTTGTGTTTCATTAAGCTGATGGTAAATCAGACCTTCAAAACTGCACACACACGTGAACTTACTTCCCAGCATTACTCTTATCCAAGGTTTAATCTAAATCCATAGTAGAAGACATAATAAAACGGATCCCAGTCTTGGAAATATACATGCCCCTTGACCCAGCCACTTCTTAGAATTTATGCTAGAGAAATAATCATGAAAGTTTGCAACATTTTATCTGTAGAATTTTTTTAAATAGTGAAAATTTGGGAACAGCTCAAGTGTCCCGTTACAGAGAATTAACTGTTATTATCTCTACAATAAAATGCTATGTAACCATTAAAAACTACATCATAGAAAAATATTTAACATCATCTAAAAATGTCTAGTGATAATTGGAATAACTTATATACTGAGTTTTACAGTATGATCCCAACTTCGTAAAATGATAGTAGCTTAATACCTAACATGTTAGAATAATTTATTTACTGACAGTTTTACAATATGATCCCACCTTCGTAAAATGATAGTAGCTTAATACCTAACATGTTAGAATAATTTATTTACTGACAGTTTTACAATATGATCCCACCTTCGTAAAATGATAGTAGCTTAATACCTAACATGTTAGAATAATTTATTTACTGACAGTTTTACAATATGATCCCACCTTCGTAAAATGATAGTAGCTTAATACCTAACATGTTAGAATACATACTGTGTGCCAGGCACTACCTCGGGAGCTTTGCATGGATTCTCATTTAATCCTCACAGCAGTCTTATGAGGAAGATAATATTACTATTTTCATTCTGCAGATGAGAAAACTGAGGCTTAAAGATATTGCAGACAGTTACGTGGCATTTTATAAGCAATTAAGACAGACTGAAAATGAACAACTCTCATTTAGCAAGTTACAAAGTCATGATTTTCACCCAGACTCCAGAGCCCATATTCTGAATCACTGCACTGTATAAGCATAAAGAGAGTCTGTGCCCTAACCTTAACAGTAGTTATCCTTGGGTGGCTGGATTTGGAGTGATTTCTTCCATTAGCTATCTATATTTTCCAAATGTTCTATCATAAACATGTATTACGTTGGTAATCAAGGAAGAAGTGGTAAACTATAGACACTATATTAGAGTCTAAGATTCTTAAGAGAACTAAAAGTGCCACACTCTTCATTTCAAGACCAATAAAGAATGGCACCACAGACTGGCTTCATCGGAGACTGTTCCAAACACTAGTAAGACCCAGATGAAAACCATGCCTGGAGCAAGTTGAATTTTTCCAAAGTCCCCATTTTTATATCCCTGATGCCAGTATTCCTTCTATTTCACATTCTATTCCATTCTTAAACCGTCATATTTTTTGGTCATCATCCTGCCTCATGACTTGGCACCTGGTCCTCCTTCTGCGCCTAATCCCCTCACAAGCTCCAGGGGCACTGCTGTGCTCTCTATTCCTCTTGCACAACAGCCTCATTGCCTGCTGTCCCCACTCTTTTTTTTTTTTTTAAACAGTTATTATTTTATTTGACAGATGTTTAAACAGAGGTGAACATAGGGACTGATTTTTTTTTAACATCTTTATCGGAGTATAATTGCTTTACAATGGTGTGTTAGTTTCTGCTTTACAACAAAGTGAATCAGTTATACATATATCCCCATATCTCTTCCTTCTTGTGCCTCCCTCCCTCCCACCCTCCCTATTCCACCCCCTAGGTGGTCACAAAGCACCAAGCTGATCTCCCTGTGCTATGTGGCTGCTTCCCACTAGCTATCTATTTTACGTTTGGTAGTATATATATGTCCATGCCACTCTCTCACTTTGTCCCAGCTTACCCTTCCCCCTCCCCATATCTGGAAGTCCATTCTCTAGTAGGTCTGTGTCTTTATTCCCGTCTTGCCCCTAAGTTCTTCATGACCATTTTTTTTCTTTTTTTAGATTCCATATATATGTGTTAGCATATGGTATTTGTTTTTCTCTTTCTGACTTACTTCACTCTGTATGACAGACTCTATGTCCATCCACCTCACTACAAATGACTCAATTTCGTTTCTTCTTATGGCTGAGTAATATTCCATTGTATGTGTGTGCCACATCTTCCTTACCCATTCATCTGTCGATGGACACTTAGGTTGCTTCCATGTCCTTGCTATTGTAAGTAGAGCTGCAATGAACATTGTGGTACATGACTCTTTTTGAATTGTGGCTTTCTCAGGGTATATGCCCAGGAGTGGGATTGCTGGGTCATATGGTAGTTCTATTTTTACTTTTCTAAGGAACCTCCATACTGTTCTCCATAGTGGCTGTATCAATTTACATTCCCACCAACAGTGCAAGAGGGTTCCTTTTTCTCCACACCCTCTCCAGCATTTATTGTTTGTAGATTTTTTGATGATGGCCATTCTGACTGGTGTGAGATGATATCTCATTGT